ACAGCACTCACTGGCTGAGCGCGGTGCGGCCGGTCTCAAAAAGGAAAAAAAAAAAAAAAAAAGAAAAAAAAAAGAAATGACTTGATATTGTCTAAGCTTTTTAAAAAATTACTGATAAAAAGTTCTAAAGATAGCATATGTTTTTTTTTCTTTTAGAAACACTTTTTCATTTATTTTATTCAGTTTGTTTTTACTTTATTTGAGGAAGATTTCCCTTTTCTAACTGATGAAAAAAGCTATAACAACACTAAATGTTTGCTCTGAATTATAGCTTTTTTTGCTGAATTCATGAAATGAGTTTGGGTTGACAAGGGTTGGGTTCCCCACCCCCCTGCTACCCCAAATTTTAGAGAAAACTGGAAATCCTTATTTTGTAGTATGGATACTGAGACCAAGTGAGTAAGTAGCAAAGCAGGAGTGGAGCTCAGGTCTCCTCCTCCAGGATCTTTTTTGCTATAATATGCTGCCACCCTCACAATCTGCTTAACTAAGTCAGATGATTAAGGAAATGATCACTGAATTCAAATATCCCTGTATTTAAAAGAGTGCTGTTTAGTTATCCGATGCTGAACTCTAGAGTTCAAACATAAATATTCCTCATTGGCATCACTGAATCACACTAAGCACCTACATATACAAAGAGCATTGTTGTTGACTTTAGAGAACTGAAAACAGTGTTTCTTATGACTAGAGAGTGCTGGACCAGGAATTACAAAACTTGAGTTCTGATCTCAGTTCGGCTCAGTAACCTTAGTCAAGAAAAACAAATTTAATCTGTTTGAGCCAGTTTTCACCATTTACAAAATGAGAAGGATGACAATATGACATCCAAGGCTCCTGCCAGGACTTAGTCTAAGGATCTATGAAACCCAGAGGCGGAGAAATGGAGGGTGTGGGGGAGACAGTGTTTTCTTTTTGTTCCCAAGGACTTTGCACTAGTCATCTACTTTTCTCATGTTATCTCCCTGTCTGGAAAGTCTTCTAGTTGCCTCTATTCCTATGCAAAAGCTATTCTTATATATCCTTTAAGCCCTAGTTTACATTTCACTTCCTCTATGAAGTCATTGTAGCACACATTATTTCTCCTTTTTTGAACTCATTTATTACCCTTACTTATCCATTAATCATGGTAAATTGCTGTGGAACATATCTTCCTTTTATACTTCATCTACAGGCAGTAGGTTAATATAGAAGAAAAAGAACAGACTATGAAGATAAATAGAGTTAGCTAGGTGATCTTAGGCTGGCTACTCTAAAAATATGTATTTAAATTTTTTAATAGGTAGTACATTTTCGAATAGGTAAATTTTTTTTTCTCTAAAGCTTAATAAAAAAGGGAGGTGCAGTGAAAAGTCTTCTTTTACCCCCGGTCTGCCATCAAATTTGTTTTCCCTCACAGTTATTAGTTTCTTATGTATCCCTCCAGAATGTCTTATTTTTTTCTTCTTTTTCTTTTACACAAAAGATGGTGTACTCTCAGGTATCTTGTTTTTTTCACTTAATTTATCTTGGAGATCTTTTCACATCAGTACATAGTGAGCTTCCTCATGGTTTTTAATGTTTTAAGGATATGCCATAATTTAACCAGTGGTTTGGAATTTTTCTTTAGTAAAGTCTCAAATGATTTTAAAATTTGAATGATCTTTGAGTCTGATCTGAGAAATATGCTCTTCATTTCTCTAAAACTTATATTTCCATGGTACATTACAGTTTTTAAGCACTTTACATCCTTGAAATCGATCCTCAAAAAACCTCTTTGGGGTAGATAATTACTGTATAGGTTTCACTAGGTAAATAGAGAAAGGAAATGTCTGTTTAGGATTTTGCTGACTGTGGTGCAAGATTCTTCAGTAAAAGCTCCACCGTGTTCTTTTCATGTGCTCTACTGGCAAGTAGAGGGTTTGCCTGAGAAACACAGCCTGCTTTGTAGGGGCTGATGAAAGTCTTCATTACTGCATTTATAACCACTTGTGAATTTACTTCCTTTCCTTTACCTACTTCCTTAAAACCAGTAGAGCATGTAGAAAAGGATCTCCACATAAATAAGCTTTGTGAAACAAAACAAATTTAGAAAAAAGATATGCAAATGTTCTCTTTATAGATTAAAAATTTTTAATCTTAAATCCTAAATAAAATATGTGTATGCAGAAAAATGTGACTTGCTTAATGGAATTGAAAGTGTTTATTGAGATGGATGTGGCTCCTTAAGTAGTCAAATATTTAGGGCCGAGAAAAATAGGGAATATTTTAACCTGAGATTTGACATCTAGGAAGATCTCTGTTAAAGAAAGTACAGCCTTAGCTATGTAATTTGTCCTGTTCAGAATGGACAAATGAAGTGGAAGTGACTTTTTTATTTTTTAATTTTTATTTAATATAAAGCAAGATTGGTATTGAGATTGGCCAAACTGCTAATTCAGCTACCTCGATGTTGAAGTGTTCACTTAGGTTATTGCAAGACCAGTAGCCTTTTATATTTACATGCTGTGGAATGCAGGTTTTCTATAAAAAATTTTCAACCATTTTGGCAGCTCCTGAGATATTTTTGCTATTTATTTTTCTCCTATTTCTAAACCGGGCCCTTGATTTCTTTCTCTTTTTATATTTATGTTCTTTTATACTCACACTAAAATTTAGCCTAGAGTCATAGAATTTTAGAGATGTTTGGACACTTAGAGATTACTAGTAAATATTTGGTATACGAGGGTACTTCAGAAAGTTCATGGAAATATTTGTGTTACCTTTCAATTCAATTTTTCCAAGAAATTTTGGAAGTACCCTCAGATATGTACATTAATTTGGCCCCTTGTATTGAATAAGTGAGAAAACTGAAGTCCAGAAATGTTGGGACTTGCCCAGGTCAGCTACCTTATCCAGAACCCCTGGCTGCAGCTGCCCAGTACCAGGTTCTTTCTCCAAACAGCTCTAATTGGCTGATTCTGCTCTACTTCGGGAAAAGTTTAATTTTGAACACATTCTCTTGCTCTTTTCCCCCCTTTTCTTTCTAATGTGGACCAATTAATAAAAGACTTCAAGGAGTATTACAGTCACAGATCTTGCATGGAGTGTGGCTCATAATAGGCATGTAACAGAGACTTGTTTGAGGTGAACCAAAACTGAGAAGGGAATGAGAAAGAATCACGAGTAACAGGTGGGAATCTGGCAGCTGAGCTGTACTCACCGTGTATTTGCTAGTTTATTTTGTCTTTTTCTATCAAGGGCAGAGTGCAGTATGTTGTGTTCAGACAGTGAAGGTGTCATGTGCTGGGTAGTAGATGCCTTTCACCTGTTCTCTTTTTCCCCTTAGGTCCTTTCCCATAATCTGTGCACGGTGCTGAAGGTTCCGCATGACCCCGTTGCCCTTGAAGAGCACTTCAGGGATGATGATGAGGGACCTGTCTCCAATCAGGGCTACATGCCATATTTAAACAAGTTCATTTTGGAAAAGGTATGATTCTAACCTTTTCTTGCTTATAGCATAATTTGATTTGCGCATTTCAAGCAAGCCCCAGAGCCCCTCTTTGGTGAGTTCACTAAGGAGTTGAGGTGGGAGGCATCGAGAGATAAGTCAGCAAGGAAGAAGGAATGAGAGACTGAGATGCTTCCTGTTCCTCCCTCTCGCCACTCTCTTCTAAAACCTAGTTTGGTATTTTTCCAACTTGTTTCATTCTTTGAAGTTAAGAACTGTTTTGTGTTTATCTGCACCTGTCTGTTCTCAGGGTGCTTTTTTTTTTTTTTCTTTTTTTAAAAATCTGGTTCCACATGTATTGGCAATGGTTTTTAAAGCCTGGGTATGATGGAGTAAAATGTGAATACTAAAGGTGATGATAATTACCTTTACTGTATAGATATCACACAGCAAATTTTTTATTCTAGACGTTGCAGGGTACCACTTGAATACTTCCTCTGGGGTATGTTCTGAGTAAGGATGCTGTAAAAACCTGTCATGTGTTTGGAAGCCGAATATAACCCATTGGCGTTTGCTGCCGTGTTCAGTTTTTCCTTTGGGTTGGATAATTAAAAATTGACACAAGAAAATGTTGAATTTAATGTGTGTAAAAAAGACAATTATTTAAACTGATGGCACATTTAAGTAAATTTTAAAATCGGTGATTAAAAAATTATTAAAGGTAGTACATGCTTGCTATTACATAGGCAATTAATACAGAACTATATGAAATAAAAAGTGAATATTTCTTTAATCTTTGTAGTCTGATTCTGTAGGAGTAACTACTGCTGCTGAGAGTTTGGTGAATATCTTTGTAGACTTTTTTTGAATTACATGAAAACACATGCAAACACCCCCCACACCCTTATATAATACATAGTGTTTTGTTTCTATACAAATGGATCATACTATACATACAGTTCTGCAACTTACTTATTTTAACTGAACAATATATCAGTGTTATCTTTCCACAGCATGTACATTTAGTTTAGATATGAAAGTAATCATTTATTTGTAACAAAAGTTTGGGAATTCCTGCTTTTTGCCTGTTTATAACACCAAGCATGAAATTTTTTGGTATATTTCAAAAATCCATTTCAAAAAGTGACAGTGATACTTTTAAATTAAAAATAAAGTACATTAAAAAAACTCTATTTTCCCATCACCTACATACCACAATTGTTTACATATTTTTCTGTGGCTTTTTTAGATTTTTATTGCTAGTTATATGTATACTTTTTCGATAGTTTAACATCTTTTTACAATAGCAAAGTACAGTAATTAATGTTTATAATAATATTTTAAATTAGTAGTTTGAAGAATGACAGAATGTTGGGATTCTTTTTAAAAATCATGAAAAAATACGTTATATTTTTCAGAAATTTTGCAGGAAAGATGGCCAAAATTACAGTGTGTTCATTTGTGTGGTACCCTTTGTATATGTATCTGTTATTCCATATCAGCCTAACAGTACAATTTCCTGATCTTTCTTTGTGTGTGCATGTGTATATATATGTTTTATATGTCATAAGTGTTTAACTACTTCCCCTGCAGAGATAATAGCATTGCCTCGATCATGCTTTTTTCTCTTCTTCATATTATTTCTTTTTTAATTGGCAAATAAAAATTGTAAATATTTATGGTGTGTAGCATGACGTTTTGGAATATGTATACACTGTGGAATGGCTAAATCAACTAAGTAACGTGCTTTACCTCACACACTTTTTATTTATTTGTGGTGAGAGTACTTAAAATTTCTCTTTAAAAATTTTCAAGTATATAATACATTGTTGTTAACTATAGTCATCATGTTGTATGATTATGCTTTAAGAAAAAAAAAAAAGAAAGAAACCATGTAATAAGGGAAATGTAAGATTTACTTGAACTTCAAAAGCCACATATTGTATAATTCCATTTATTTGAGATGTCCAAAATAGGCAAATATATAGAGACAGAAAGTAGATTAGAGGTTGCCAGGGACTCGGGGAAGGTAGGAATGGGGAATGACTACTAAAGGGCTTGGGGTTTCTTTCTGGGATGATGAAAATGTTCTAGAATTAAATAGTGGTGATGGTCATAAAGCCTTGTGGTGAATTTTATAGAATGTGAATTATATCTCAATAAAGATTTAATCACATTGTACAGAAACTGATGTGTAAGTGCTCAAAACTTCACAGTATGATGTTGTGTTAGTTTCTGGAGCTATTTTTTTTGCCACTGTTGTGTTCATTGATCAGGTAGCTCATTTGGGTTATATAGTTGTATTGTAGGTAAATATGTCTTACATTCAGCAAATATTTGTTGACCTGCTGTGTGCGTGTGTTTAATCTTAAAAATTATAGACAATAAGCAAAATTATATCTGTTATGAAAATATTATAGAACATACTGGGAAATTCTCAGAAACCTGGAAATGTGTTTGTTTTCAGTGCTGGAACTTGTGTGGGCTGGGCCGGTGGATAGAGAAACACAGTTTAATATCTTGAAGTGTTGTACCCTACTACTGCATTTTGTTCTCCTTAGTGTAACATTCTTTAAACCTCTTGAATTTTAAGTTTTAAAATGTTCTTTGTTTTAGTATTTAGATATTTTAAAGTTTTGTAACTGGGGGAGAAAATATAGTAGTATTTTCAAAGTCCAAAATGAGCCACTAAATTTGGAGAAAAACTTATTCACGGAGTGAGTGAGGATGTGATGGAACAGTGAGCCCTTGTTTATTATTGCTTAGCCACCTGGAGTGGAATTTTGCCAGCCCTGCAATCCAAGTAAAGCAGCCAAGGTTTCCATGGTGTGGGTTTAAATTGAGCAAAGATTAGTGTCTTGTTTTGAAACTTGGTTGAAAAAATGTCAATAGTGACTGACGAATGTTAACATAAAACTTAGAAGTTGTCATCGGTTGTGCAAAGAAAATATGAAATAATGATTAAACATTTGCAGGGTATGGTTTCATATATACATACTTCTCATTTGATGGTCATGTTAATCCTGCGAGGCAGAACCATAATTATCCCTATTTAACTCAGGAGGAAACAGAGCCTAAGGTCACCTAGCTAATAAGGGGTAGATAGATTTTAACCTAAGCCGTTTAACTTCTCCATCAGTGTTCCTTTAACTGTACTATTGAGGGGTTAATTATGCCTTTCAGAATTATTATGTTTTTTTCCAGTTCTTTGAATACATAGGGGAAATACTCGTATTATTGGTGGAAAGCAAGGATAGAGTTTTGTAACAGCTGTTCTGATAATCTTAAACCATCTCAGTTTCCATCCATTTCTCTAAGGTTCTTTCGCTAATGTTTTAAGATGATTCTCTTTTAATTAGTGTCTGGTGTTCCTTACTGTTCTTTCTTGGTCATTTTTTTCCCAGGTTGTTTTAGGTGTTTTCTGCCTTTGATTGGGAGAATTATTCTGAAGGGGTTGGGACAAAGATATAAATTATATCGAAACTCACTTTCCAAAGAGTAATTTTTACACTTGATTTCTATATTTACTTCTTTATAATCATTCCTGTTGTTCATCACATTGATAGAATTTATTTTCAGCTTTCCTTAAGACTTCAAATGATTAACATGTCTGTTGCTCACTTTCCAAAGAGTAATTTTTACACTTGATTTCTATATTTACTTCTTTATAATCATTCCTTTTGTTCATCACATTGATAGAATTTATTTTCAGCTTTCCTTAAGACTTCAAATGATTAACATGTCTGTTGATGTTTTACCAAATATTTTGCGTCCCCTGAGTGTTAACTTTTTTGTTTGTTTGTTAAATTCCTTCTTCAGTAAAAGAATGGAATTCTATAAACATGTAGGAAGAAACTTCTGTGGCTTTTTTTCTCTCTTTTTTTTTTGGCAGAGACACACACTATACCTGGATTATCTGACAGGGAATAATTGAAGAAAGTGGTATTTTGTTACCTTTTTACTGTTTAGTCCCAATAAACTACATCACAAACTAGTTCTGCTTCAGCATATTTATGAGGCAATCTAATTGTTTCATGAGATTTAATGGCTGATTAGACTTGCTGGTCTGAATGACTGTCAGTTCCTTTCCTTGATTATACATATTAAGGCTTAGTCTGGGGCTGATCAGTTAGCTCAGTTGGTTAGAGTATGGTGCTGATAACACCAAGGTCCAGGGTTCTGTCCCTGTACTAGCCAGCCACAGCCATTTAAAAAAAAAAAAAAAAAAAAAGGCTTGGTCTGGGCTATATGATTAAAACCAATAATCCATTGGCAATGTGCCAAGTTCTAATTGGGGTATCTGCTGCTTTCCAACAGATTCCTTTTTTTTTTTTTAAATGTTTTTGAAACATACATGCACACAAAAGAAAAACACACAAAGAAACATTTCAGTTAGATATATTGCCTCTCATCTAGAAGCTGGGAGCCTTTGCATTTGCTTTTCTAGTCTGACATTTATGCTTTTTCCCCCTACCGTGTACTTTCTTACCAGATACTTGCTGATCATGTGTTAGTTACAGTTCTTGCATAAAATGTGGTTTCACGTTTCTTCTGTTAGTTAAATGACTATGCCTTCAGCACTCAAAATACTTCAAATGTGCGCCTAACGACCATCGTTTAATAGGAAGTGGTACCACTCTTAAACACCCAAACCCATGCTTCTATTTATTTACTTAAGTTTATTTATTTATCAATATTATTATTTTTTACATTCTAAGATCTTGTTGCAGAGCAGTTGGGGGGTGAGAAGAGAAGGGGGAAGGAAATAGGCTGGGAGAAGGAGTAGGGAGTTGCGGCTGTGGCACCTCCAGCATGGGAGACCAGGGGGATTCCAGTGGTGGCTTGGTGGTCATCACTGGCTTAGTTGTGGGTATCGGGAGGACATGGCCGAGGCCTTTGGCTCCCCCACCGCTCTGGCTCGGGAGCCCGGGGCACTTCCTGTGGTGGCTTGGTGGCTGGGCTGGTTGTGGTTGTCAGGGGGCATGGCTGAGGCCCCCAGCCCTCCCCCTTCCCTGGCTTGGTAGCGCACAGGGCTTGCA